TAAATTTGAAACTTCAAACAACGGCCTTGTGTTAAGTGAAATAATTGTGAGTTTATTGAGCAATTAAAATGACACCAATTTGATTAAATAAATGTTTCTTCTGAAATTATTATCAATAAACAAAGTGCAAATGAAATTTTCTTTAGTGCTGACATTGGAAATTCATATTTTCATATGACAATAATCTGTTGATAACCGAACGGAGATAATGGAGATAATGGCGGAAAGTTAAATGTCCCAATCCCGCTCTGATCCCAAATCGAGCCCAAGCATGACGGCGTTAATGGCCATTCCGTCATTTCATTTTTTATTTCCGTTTCGAGTTTTATCGTCTTGTTTTCTATCACTTCTTTCACCACCTCCGCTTCTCTCCGCCGCTTCCTCCCTACGTCCATGGCGGCATCTGATTCGCATATTTCCATCTGAATCTCCACTGGGAAGTTCAGAATCGCCTTGCTTCCTCGCATCCTGAATGCCGCCATGTCGTAAGCTTTTGCGGCTGCGATGGCGGTGTCGAACGTTCCGAGCCAAAGGCGAGAGCCACGCCGCTTCGGATCCCTGATTTCCGCCGCGTACTTTCCCCATGGCCGCTGTCGTACCCCTCTGTAATGACACTTCTCCACCACAACCGAGTTGTCCTGCACCGTCGCCGCCGAGTTCGACTCTGAGAAGTCGATCCAGCCTAATTTCTTCACCGCCGGCAATTCAATCTGCAGTGAAGGATTCCTCTCAGTCAAAATTTTCGCCTTGGGTAATGTGAGGTCTATAATTTGAGTGTTTAGTTGATTTTGCCCCAAATCTACGGATTCCGGGCTTGAAAACTCGCTAAAATCAAATTGATTCCGCTCACAGTTCATGAAATAATCAGAAACCGAAATTGAATTGTCAAATTGAACTGATGAACTTATGCTACTAGCTTTGCTGCAATTATCGATCTCGGCAGCAAACGAAACCTCGCTTGGAGAAAACTCTCCAAGAAGATGCATTCTAATTTGTTCAATTGCTGAAACTTCTGCTGGATTTGCCATCAATAGCGTTTAAAAGTTGAAGATTAATAGACTTTAGAGAGCTGAAAATTTTGAAGAGAAATGGATTTCAATGATTGTTGCGAGTAAGAGTGGAGAATGTATATATCTATATAGGGAGAGAGTCAAAGACAGGAAGCTTCCATCGAAGGGCTGGTCTAACGGATATGTTGAGTCAGTCTCTAATTGGAGAGTGTCAACCCTCGGTTATGGTGACTAAATGGAGTCAGTCAGGTTTGGATGAAATTGTATCAATCGTGTTACACAGGATGGCAAAAGAATCGGGTAGCTCATCGACTTGTCTACTCGACTCGTCAAAACTTGGCCCATGGACTGCTCGAACTCATTTCAGTACGAGCACGAACCTGAGCCAAGCCAAGGGTTCGCCGGCTTGCTCAGCTCGTCGAGCTCGCGAACGGCTCGTAAAAAATTTGAAGAAAAAAGTAAAAAAAAAATAAATTAAAAAAAAAAACACGAGCTCATGGGCCGAGTCGAGCCACTTTTTCACATTACATCTATAAAAGTCATTGATTTCTACAATATCATATCACATTATTGTCCAAATTTTGACACATAAAAGGAAGGACCATGCTACACTTATCGAATTTTTTTACCGAATCATTTACCTACTACTCACAATAAGGGTGGAGACCACGTTGTCGGAATATTTAATTCACGCGGGCCCTACATCATCATGTGAGAGGGGCTAACCCATTCGGTACCCCCATTCGGTACATATATATTAATCCTGAAAGGAATGTCAAGGAGAATGTAAACAAACATGAACACGTAGCTTAATTCAAATTATATATATTTTAAATAGAATTGGGACAAAAACTTGTTAAAATAGGAATTGAAACGCAACTAATTTGTATATTTTTTTCCTTTTAATATTAATTACTAATAAATAATGTTATTTAAGTTATATGAAGAATATTCCCCCAGATAATGGTGTTAGTGGAGGGAAGAAAATTATTATTTTTATTTACATTTTCATTCATCATTTTTGTTGTTTAAAGCAATATTTAACTTGTATTTTTTTGTGCTTTGTCTCCTCCACCGATTTCACCTCGTCATCTCCAAATCCTATCTGTCAAATAATCTCACCTCTATTTCTTGTCTGTCACGGAATTATGGACGAGAACAAAAATTACTTTGATTTTGCATAACTGAAAGAAGACACGAAAAAATGGTAGAATTAGGGCTTCTTTGATTTTTTTTATTTTTATTTTTTCCCAAGAAAGAAAGAAAGTCTTTTACAATAAAGATGTTTTGCGATAAGCAAAGTCTTTTTTATTATTAAGGGTGTGTTTGATGAATATTATGGAGAAAAAAATATATTTTAAATAGTGTTATGATGAGAAATATGTAGTTAAAAAGTAAGGAAAAATTACTGATGTAATGAAAAATATTTTTTTATTGAAGAAATTGTGATTGAAAATGAGTTTTGAAAAAATATATTTTTAGAGAATGTGTGTCAAACAAGGGCTAAACATCAGAAAATATAGTGATTTTTCTCTGTACACATTGGAAGTGACATTTTCAAAATCCATTAATTAAATATTTGATTGTCTTGAAAGTAAATGATAATATTTCAAAATGAATAATACTATTCGCAGTGCAAATAATGCACCAAATCACAAATCGTCACGTATATGCTATGTAAGGAGACTACCGATAGTCGTCGCTCTGAATAACATTACTCTTTCGAAACATGCGAATCTTTCTTAAATAGTCAAAATGAGGGGGGTCAAACAAAGGCCTCTTGGTTCACGAGTCATGTACTCATAAATGATAGAACAACTTGCAACAAATATTTTAATTTATCCTATTTTTGCCTGCAAAAATACAGAACAATTATTTTAATTAAATAAAATTAAAATTTGCATTTACCACTATTTTTGTTTCAATCAAGAAAATTGTGAAAGGAAAAACACTTTTCAAATTTAATTTTTCGATTTTCTTTTGTTCTTTCGTAATTTTACTTTCGATCGCGTTACATTACCCAAGTCTGTTGAGAAAGCTAGGTTACTAAATGATGTGGCAGGAATAAAAAAACTTAAATGTCCTTCTTCTATCTTTTAGTCCAGTCAATGTTCTTTATTTCTAATACATGATAAGTTTGATGTATTTCTCCTAANATATTATTTGATTGAAGAATGTGTGGTTGAAAATGAGTTTTCAAAAAATATATTTTTAGAGAATGTGTGTCAAATAGGCGCTAAACATCAGAAAATATAGTGATTTTTCTCTATACACATTGGAAGCGCCATTTTCAAAATCCCTTAATTAAATATTTGATTGTCTTGAAAGTAAATGATAATATTTCAAAATGAATAATGTTATTCGCTATGCACTAAATCACAAATCGTCACGTATATGCTATGTAAGAAGACTATCGATAGTCTTCGTTCTGAATAACATTACTCTTTTGAAATATACGAAGCTTTCTTAAATAGTCAAAATGAGGAGGGTCAAACAAAGGCCTCTTGGTTCATGACAGAGTCATGTACTCACAAATGATAGCACAACTTGCCATAAATATTTTAACTTATCCTATTTTTGATTCGTTATCTGGAACAAAGAACAGATGAGAACCGTCAAAGTTCTCTATTCTAAAACTCGAAATTAATTAAAATCGCAATGAGTTGATTGTTTGGTCTGATTCGAGAGTTTTAGATAATAATTACTCGTTCTCCTTATATTTACTGATAGAAAGTAACATAAATATTGATTTTTTTTTCTCAATTTATGTATAAATATAATATATTGTTTCGTAGTTATATCAAGAAATTCGTCTTACCTTTAATATTCTTTTGTCATTTTTTATGATAGCAAAATACACAAAGGTTATAAGTTGTTTGCACTCGTTACCAATTTTACAATATAAAAAATGAATTTAATTTGTACACTAGAGAGTGTGTTGAAAATATAAATAAATAATCATCTTTTAAGAGTTATTAAGCGTTTTACTCATATCCTCATTGAATATTTCATCGCTTTAGATTTAATAATTTAATATACATATATGGATATACTTCAATATACGCGTAAAATTATCCGTAAATAATTTAGTTGTTTAGACTCTAAATAATTTTACTGAGTATAATTTTTAAAGTCAATCACACACGATTTGATCAAACGATCTAATCAATTGATCGAGTCGTCATCTAAAATTGAAAAAATAGTTTTGACAATGTTACCAAAATCAAGGGATAAATCGTCCTCATCTTTAAATACTTCATAAATGGTCAATGTCTTGCAACTTTGCGGTCTTGCACCGGTCTTAACAAAGCCATCGTAATTAATTCTTATAATATTTTTTTAATGGAAAAGCTAAACGCAAAGGACCCAAAGAAATTGACAATAAAAGTCTGTACAAATTACAATCCATGTACTGTAGGAGATATTACACCGA